AAAAAAAAAAAAAAAAACAAAACCGAAAAAAGCCCCACGGATTTATGCAAACTTAATGGATAACTTCAAGATTTTATTGCTGTGTTATTCTCAGATGTTTTCTTTTCTGAGTAAGAATATGTAAGGTCTGAAATTCAGACTTATTAATAGTCAGAGGTCTTGTTCCTGCTCTTTCTGGTCAGAGCTGTTATAAGTGACCCAGAGCAATCCATGCGTGCTGATGTTTACAAGGAAGCTCATGGACTTCTGGGACTTGGGACAGCACCAATGCGTTTTAGAAGAAGAACGCTGCATGAAACAAAGTAAGTTTTCTCTAGTGGTCATTTTTTTTAGAAATACGTTTTCTGCTATATTTTTTATTATTTTGGGCACTGTGAAATCTATTTGCCTTTCCAGATGTTTTATTTCTGGCTTGGATCCACCAGCTTCATGTGAGACCTTTTTTGTAGCCTCCCCGTGCTTATAATTGCCTAGTGGGACCTTTTTATGTGGATTCCCTGTGTATAATCATTGATTCGTAGAACCTATAAAACCTGGGAAAACATTCTTAAACTTATATTGATATTGTTCATCACAGGGTTTTGCCGGCCTTTTTGGAGCTGTTGAATGCTTACAATCTTGTCAAATCCTTTTAGAGATTCCTATCCTGAGGTGCATAAAATTGCATGAATGTACATCCATAAATGCTAATGTAGATCTTCACAATATAATCACACTTTTTTTCATGTTTTGATTTCTGCTGCAATAATTAACCATATTGGCATTGAAGTTTCATTCCTGGCCTGTGAGCATTGAAATAGTAACTCTAAGGGCTTAAGAAAAACTGAGAAAACATTGTGATCCATAAAATTAAATGAATCTGCAGGTCTGTGTTTTGTTCTGTTAATCTTTCTCAACATACAGGCAAACGTCTCTACTTTGTGCATTTTAACATCCTGCTCTAAAGTCTTTCTCAGCAAATGTCATCTTTGTATTCTTAAAAAAAAAAAAAAGGCAACTGAACCAGTCTCAATCTCTTACACCCATCACATGGACAAATCTCCATTTCTGGAACTAGTAATATGGACAATATAAAATATCTAGGTGGGTAAACAAGCCCCGACCTGGGTATTTTTGCCCAGGTATTTTAAACGCATTGATTTGTGGATGTATGGTGAGTGCTAGAGGTTTAATTCTTGATATAAGTGTATGTAAACAAAATATGCCATTCACGTCTGTGCCTTCTGTGAATCTACTCTCGTATTATATAATTACAGAACACCTTCCACATTACAACTCTGAGTTGCTTTCTAATTCAACTATTAGGGATCATCTCCTCAGCCAGTTGCCAAGGATACCGTATTTCACGTTTTTTGCTGTTTTGAAACAGCTGATTTTTATGTAACATTTCTCTGTGAGCATAGAGGTATCATTAACATGCTGCATTATTTTCACAGAATAAGGACTAAATCAGGATTAACTGAAAACATGCTCTCTAACAAGCTACGCTTTGATAGCAGGATTATATCGAGGTAATCATAAATTTTGTGAAGCTTTTCAATCCTATGAATTTATGAATGATGATCTTTACCCTCTTGAAATAATTAATTGCATTGAACCTTTCTGTTCCCTGTATTTAGGAAAAAAGTATGTGCTGTATGGGTATATGCATACATGTATAATACAAATTGTGACATGGCTGATGGATAGCGGCTTTCCAGTCCCATTGTGCAGTGTTAAGATGCCCAAGTAAGCTCTGTGCAGGACAGTTAGCACAGGGACTGCGTAAAATAGTGCTCTTGGCCATTGCATTTCAGTTGATCAAAAATTGTTTTAGCCTTGTCTTAATATGTGGTAACCACTCTGGATGGAAAGGATAGCTTTGTGTCTTGTTTGCAGCTCCTTATGTGTTAAACTTGCAGGTTTAGGGCATCTTTGAAATTGTTCTGAATTGAGTAGCGGTGACATAAACGTATTCTTCAGCTCTGGAAGTGGCACTTTTCTGAAGCAGTGAGCTGTACACTTGTTAGACATAGCTGCGGATTCAGCTACACAACTTCATATAGCATAATGAATGCAATACTCCTGGTGTAAGTAATCCTTTAGTTAATGAGTGAAAATTACATTGCTATACTAAAACATGAAGCTTTGAAAGGTGTTTTTAACATTGCGGAGAATGGAATATTGCATAAAAGTATGTGTCCAAATCCAGAAGCTGAATTTCGTGGTGGTTTAGAGAAAATGGTCAGATATCTCTTTCAAAGAAAAAGATTGTACAATATGCAACATAGAAATAAAATGCGTATTCCAAAATAGAAATGTTCTTTATGTTTGGGTTGAATTGGATTTCTGTGGATGCAAAACCATAAAGATGCTTTTCAATTTTCCTTCTAGAAATGGTCGCGATGCTTGTAGAGAGTTGATTGGATTTTTTTTTGCATGCGACAGATCCCTTACTGTGTACGAATTTCGACAGTTTGGAAATAATAGGTAAGATAAATTACTTTTTAAAAGGTTTTTGAAAACATCTTCCACTGTATCAAAGAAACTTAAATAAATGAAATTGTTTTAATATCAGTTTTTAATTATTTCACAGAAGAAATGCCTTGCCTTTCATTCAGAAGGGAATTTATCAGCATCAACGTGGACAAAAGAAGGGAAAAGCTTATGATATTAGTGACTTCTATATTGTAAGTATTCTTCTGTTGAATATAGGTCAATTTTGTTGGTGATTTGGAAGTAATATTTAGATATTCCAGTTGAAAATAATGATCTAGCTTTCAGGTAAGACCAAAAGTCTTTCCCTTCAGTAATGCTTTTGAATTAAAGATTTTCAGAAGTCTGGATTATTTTGCTGTCCCACATTTTAAAGAGTCCTTTTTTGGCTTCAGATTGAGCTGTAGTTTGTAATTTTCCCACTAGAGGCCACAAGACTGCAGACAGCGTAGACCTTTTTGTAGGCAAAATTAACAACTCGGGATGGACAGTCCTGAAGATGAAGTAGACTAAAGTACTTGTTAAAAATTAAGAATCTTTGTAAGGTCTGCTGGCATTTTTGACACTAGGCAATGATTAAATATTTTTAAACATAAGGAAATTGCGGGTTAATTGGTTTTAATCTAAAGTTTGAAAATGTTTACCACCAGCTGTTTAGAGAGAGCTTTTGAAAAAATGGTAAACTTCATCTACCAGTTAATCTGATGAGTGACTACAAATCATACTGCATCTTCTGTACTGCTGTACTTCTGTACTGAGTTAAGTGTTCCTGGTTTATAAATACTTGAGCAATTTTTCAAGTGCAGAGTGTTTTCACTGAGTTCTTCACATTCTCGTGCAAATCTTAAGGTCAGAGCAAAAACCATGTTTGAATAAAGTGCTGAAAGTAGAAGAGGACAACATTCATTTTTAGAGTGTTTCGTCTAATCACCTGCCTAATCCTAGCTGTTTACATGTGGCTATGATACAAGAGTTTCCAAGATGAAATAGATGACTGACTTTATGGTATGGAGGCTGAAGCTATTTTTAAGAGATTTTATTTTTTTTTTAATTGTCATTTGGATCTTTTTAACCTGCAGACAGAAATGTGTGCTCAGTAAAGATGCATCTTAAAGCCATCCAGAAAATGTACTGCTACTGAGTTCGATAGCTCTTTGGAATGATGTCATATCTGTGAATCTCTATATCTGCAAACTGGGTTTCTGGTTAAGATATACAAATCTCTCACAAAGTCCAAATGGTTGAGACGTTTGCACAATAACAGGGTCTCTGTCTCCTTCCTAATTTATGAGTTTTGGAGGCTTTATAACTCAGCCTTGCATGGATATTACGGTTAGGGCTACTGCTTTATTTGATTCTTCTCAGCATTCTTTGCTCCTTTTCTTTCTCTCCCCTCTTCTCTCAAACTAAAAAGCATCTTTGATTTGGCAGAATAAATGAGGTGTACCCTCTGTCCCCAGCTTGGAGGAATGGGGAATTTGTAATACTCAGAAGAGACTATACTGGGTAATAGAACTCTATACTACTGAGAACATGTTTGTATTCAATATTTATTAGTGAAATCTAGCAATTTTAAAAAAAAACTCTATAATTAAACGCTGCAGGAATGACTTGGACTTTGGGAAGGCTACTTTTTAGTTCTTTGTTTATTTCAAGTATGATTTTAGGTTATTAAAAATAACTATAGAAGGTTTTTTGTAGTCAGAGAACTTTGCTCTCATGGAATCGGTGTGGCACCTTATATGACTCTCTTCTGTGGTCCGGTGAGTTTTGGATCCTATAAGAATGAAGGGAGAAGAAAAATTGAAAAGTAGATCCTTGCTGAGGGAACAACAATCTGTAGTCTCATGTTTCTGAACTGTAGATTAAGCAACAGTAGACCCTCTTACTAGACAAACCTCAGTGCAGAGGATAATGTGTCACATTGGAGGCTGCAGCTGTTTTTGTTTAGTACTAGAAAGGCTCCATTAAGAAGGTTAACTGACCTTAGCTACACCTTTTTATCATTTCATACCACGGCTTTTAACAATCACACTTCTTGAAAACCTTGCAGAATGTATCTTACAAAATACACAACCTATTTGTAAATCATTGTATGCTTTACCAACAGGGAGCTAACCTAACTTTCCGAAGTGTTAATCATAACCTTCCAGAAAGTGTTAAGCAGAACCCAGTTCTCACTCTTCGTGTGATGAGCATTGATGAAGCAGCTATGGATTTTCTAAAGTAAGTGCAGCTACCTGTTTTTCAAATTACCTTTCCTTCCTTACGCAAAAAGATTCTTTAATGAGAGCTTCTAATGTCTTATTACTTATACTGCTACAAACAAATAAATCTGTATTTAGGCTGTTGTTAGGAGAAATTAGTAATCGATGTTAGTGGATGTTCTGTAATTCAGTAACTTTCTAACGAGTAATTTTAAAATAATTAATTTGCTTTGTTTGAACTCAGATGTTTTTATATACAAATCACATACTGAAACTTTTCTTATGTGATGAGCTAACATACTATGTTTGAGGGAAAAATGCTTTTTTTTGTGATCAGCGTTATTATTATTGAATCTTTTGTGAAGCTTATGTTAAAAATTTTTATCAGTCATGACAACACAAGTGTTTGAACACAGGCGGGGGAAGGATTGGAGATTTCTCTCATTTGTTGGTTTTTTGTTTGTTTTGGTTTTTTTTACATTTTCTTTTTCCTTCCTCTTCCTATCCCTTCATTCTTCCAGATGTTGGCATATGTTGAAGACTTCAGGCACTGGGACAGGATTTCTGCACTTATTCTTTCAAAATAGATTTTAGTAAATTATGTTGTTTCATAGTCTGAAAGATGGGAATTTCTTACAACTTTTTCAAATGATTAGGTGAATGGTTAGTCTTTGAGTATGCGTTATTTTTGAAGGTAATATTCTCATCTCAGTATCTATACAGAAGTAAACTGTCTAGGGAATGAAGCATCTTTCTCTGGGGTTTCTGTCTTTTATTGTGAATATACTGTTTCTTAGCACAAATAAAATCTTGGTATAGAATTTATCACACTGCTGTCTTGCCTGAACACGGAAGTTACTTAACAGTGTTGGAAATATAGTCAGAGTTTGATTACTCAAGTTTTGGTGAGGACTGTTAGCCAACAGCAGATGTTACAAGGTAGAAATTTTCATAAAATCATGGAATCATGGAAAGGGACCTCAAGAGGGTCTCTAGTCCACCCCCCTGCTCAGAGCAGGGTTTACTACAGCATGTTGCTCAGGGCTGCATCCAATTGGGTTTTTCAACATCTCCAAGGATGGAGACTCTGCAACCTCTGTAGGCAACCTATTCCGATGTTCGATCACTCTCCCAGTACAAAAGCGTTTCCTAATGTTCAGAGGGAACCTCCTGTGTTTCAGTCTGTGCCTGTGGCCTCTTGTCCTGTCACTGGGCTCCACCGAACAGAGCCTGTCTTAGTATACTCTACTCCCTCCTGTCAGGTATTTATACACACCGATAAGGTCCCTCAAGCCTTCTCTAGGCTAAACAGTTCCAGCTCTCCCAGACTCTTCTCATATGTCAGATGCTTCAATCCCTTCTTGACTAGGAACAGCAATAACAGAATCTCAACTAAATACATCCACTATCTAAAGACTACTTTTGTTAGCATAACTTAACTGACTATTATTTTTATTTCTGCAAGTGTTTAGATACATGAAGCTTGTTCTCAGTTACAGTAATATAACTTTAAGGTCCCTTTACACTGAAAGTTTTGCAAAGGAGCCATAGTGAGTATGGCATAACAGTACATAAAACAGTAAACTCAAATGTAATTGATTATATAAGTATACAGTTGTACGATGCTTAGTGCTAATTGTTTGCTCTCTGCAAGCTTTCCATGAAATAAAACACAATATAGTTTAATTTCAGATAGTTTATGTAAGACATTTTATATCTCAGGAGCCTATCATTCTGGTAAACAGCTTTTTGTTTCTTTTGTTGCTAATCTTGTACCTGCAAAATTTGGGGTTGATCCAATGTTATCTCGAAAGGCTTCAGAAAGAAGACCTGCTCACTGGGTTATAATTTTGGATTTTCTGCTACCTGTGGTGGAACAGATTGTTTCCTTTTTATACTCTCTCTCTGTGTTCTTTCCATTAGTGACTAAATTTCAGATTGTGAAGTCGGTCTTTTTCTGCGGAATGGGGGTGTTAGTGAACTCAGTATTCTCTGGTGCAAAACTTTTGAATTTAGTGCTCTTACCTCCATTACTGTCTCACAGAGAGTCCTGCTCAGGTACAGTCCAAAAGGTCTATTGCAGGTTTTCAGGAGCAGCTGTGCCCTGCTGTCACAAGCCATGAATCTTTTGCTTTACATGTGTTTTGGAGAAAGTACTCTGTCCTCTGTGGGTGGTTGTCGACTTTCCAGTTTAGGTGGTTTGATATAGACAAGCTTTTAGGGATTTCAGAATGGGAGATACCTGAAGTGGAGATGAAAAGTCCTAATAGACAGCAGAGAGGTAAGTCTTTGGCCTCAGAAAGCAGGAGTATTCCTCCATGGCAAAGCACTGGTGAGCAAGCAGCTCATAGTTGACAGTTCTGCTTTTGCATTTGTCTTCCTGTTCTGATTAAAAGGATTCGTGGACTTTTTTTCTTTTCTTTTTTTTTTTTTTTTCCTTCCAATAGGTTCTTCCATAGTACTTTGTATCAACATTTGTAATAATTTCTGAAGGGGATTTTCCCCTCTCAGAAGGGAATCACTTGCCAGAAAAATGACAAAATTTAACCATAATTCCTAGATCATACCTAAAACAACCTGATTCAGATTTTGGTCTGCAGCCTTGCTATTTCTCTTCTAAATAGAGATTTATAGCTACTTCATGTTATTTTCTTACTGGTATCTAAATGTAGTTGCTTTAACAAACTCTTCCAGTGGCCTGAGCTGAAGATTAGGACAGTCTTGAAATAAATTTCTGGAGATTTCACACACAAGAGGAATTATCCACGATTAATGCATTAGTAGATGAGCTGCTAATGGAATATTGTCAGAAAGGAATTTCTGCAAAGACTATTTGTGCTATCTCAAACTCAAGCTATTGAATACTATGCTTGTAAGGGTAGTATAAGAATTAAATGTAAAGTTCAGTATGTTTTTTGCTACAGTTTGAGTTCAGTAATATTACATGTAATTTTACCAATCAAGATGAATTTTGATTATTTTAGAGCTTCTTCTATGGAATTCAAGCAAGAGCATTCCAAGCAAGTAGTTGATGACAGCAAAGTTTTCAAGAAGATCCAAGGTTTGTGTCTACCAGAACCCATTTAATTTTAATTTCTGTATCTCTATCTTTACAGCTCAACACAAAGAACAACAGTAACATTATAAATTAAATTAAATTAAACAAAAGTTAGATATTTATCAGAATATTATTAGAATCTGATACCAGAATAAATCAATCATAAGAATACTTTCTCCTCTCTCTTTAAATAAACAGTCTGGCTAAAGATTGTGGAGACAGTACAGAATAATCATGAATGTAATCAATGAAATGTTAATCTCTGTGTCGACATAATCTCTGAAAAAATGCTGAAGCATAATGCTGATCCTATGTTAAATTGGGGTTAAATTGGGATTAAATTTGAAAAGTTATTGGCAAAATGTACAAACACAGTCTCATTTCTTAATTTGGTGCTAGATACTTCTTTGGGCCATTTTTATATACTGATAAGTTGTTTTTTTATAGTCTTTTAATGTTATGCTTATTAAAATGCATGAGTACAATTGAGTAGTATAATCTGGAATATGTAATTAAATTTTACCAGGTTTCTACCTACAGTTTTTAGGACAAAGGCATAGCTTTATGTTTAAAATTATGGAAAGATGTTTATGCAGTGCTGTGTGTTATCTTTGTAACGTGTGGTCAACAAAAACTGTTGAACTGAACAGCTTCCAGCTTGTAGAATCTCCATTATTTACTGTCATTAGCTGAACCTTTTTTAAGTAGGCACTCTTTGGTTACTGAAATCTGCTTGGGCATTTAGAAAAATTGTTGGAACAATAAATTAGGGATGTTTTTTAATCTTCTAGTTATTACATGTTTTCCCTCGCATAACAGACACAAATTGATTTCTCAATTATTTGATTGCATCTAAGGTTTGCTGGTGTGGCTTGGAAGAAAGTTATGTTTCTATACTTCAAGACATCTTTTAACTTATGTCTGAATTTGAACTTTACTGGAAAAAACTTTCTTCTTTCACCGCCCCCCCTATTTTGCTTTAAATTTGTAGCTACACGTAATCTGAAGATAGAATATGATAATAGCAGATGACTTCGGTTAACAGGGTATGCTTAAAAAACTCAGACATCCCTAAAGTAAACCTGCTACCTAGAGATTTTAAGGCTGACATTTTTGCCATAGAAATAGTTCTCTCTATATCATTTTAGAACGATTCTGCAGAATTACTTATATTTGTTCTTATTTCTACATGTATTTAACATGTTTGTACAATGAAGGAGCAACTGTGTGTCCCATAGAGGAATGTTTGTATTACCAAAGTAGTGTTCCTAAATTGCTTTGTACATTGAATCATGGTATATAATCAATTCCAGCAGAAGTACGCAGTTTTATAATCTGAGCACACAAAGGGCGATATCCATTCTTCCTTTCTTTCTGTGATCTCTTTAAATGTTTTGTTACATGTCGGTTGCTGCTTTATTTGATTTCTACTCAAATGTTAAGTAACTGATAATTTCATTTTGAACTGACATTCTCTCATCAAAGATAAGGGAGCCTGGATGTGTGGATGTGTCATTTTAACCAGCAGTATCGTAAGTAGTTGGGGTTTACTTTTATATCAGCTCTATAGCACATGGCCAACTTCAGGTAAACATTGTGTCCTTTATTTCTCTAAATCCTCAGGTATGTTCAGAGAGACACTAAGTAAAAGAGGAGTTCGGGTTGTAACAGGCTTAGGAAAGTATTTCCGACACGTAGACAAGAACAGAAATGGTTTTCTCTCTCAGGCAGATTTTAAAGAGGCTCTAAAAGTATTCCATTTGGAAATACCTGAAGGGGTAAGTCTAGCTGAAACTGTACTCATGGCTATTATCTTGCTTTAATTTATGCAATCACTTCCTTTCTTTGCTTAAATCTATAGTTCAATAGCTATTTTTTGCAAGGTTTTTTTTTTCCCCCCTTGTTGTATATTGGCATTTCTGCATTCAGTCCTATGTGAAATTCTTAAAAAATAAAAAAAAAATTAAAATGTGCAATCTTTTTACGTCATGAAGAAGTGAGTGGGATTGCAGTCCATATTTTTTTCTTTGTTGGCCTTTTAAAAATAATTTATATGACGCTATTTAATTATCTTTTTTTCTGGGTTATATAAATTATGTTTTAAAAACAGCCCACAGCTATCAAAACTGCAAATAATGTGAATTATGGTCATCAGTGACCGATGATGACTTGCATTATTTTGACAAATCTTTGAGTCAGTTTTGATTTGGAAGTTTGGTTTTTTGGGGTTTTTTGTGACAATACTGTAATTTCCTATTATAACAATTGTTTAATTCTAGGGCATAGTGAAGAACTTTGGCAAAATATTTTTAAATTGCAGGACTTTGAATCCTTATGGCTTATTCTTGATGATTGCAAGAGTGATAAGGTTGACTATGGAGAATTTACTCGTGCCGTATTTGGAGAAACAAATGAGTATCGAAAAGCATTTGTAAGAAAAGTAAGTTTTGTTGCAGATACTCTAGGTCTAGATATTTTTGCAGTCTAACTTGCTTGAAGCTGATTATTCATCATGTTCTTGTTGGTTTTGTTGTTGTTCTTGAATTGAGCATCTGGTAATAGACTTTTTAAAATTCCAGCTCAGTTTAATAAAATAAACATAAATTGGAAGACTGCATGCTGTTCCATTGTTGAATTAGTTAATTTTGAACTCCAGAGGTAATTCCTGTATTATTTTGAGTTTATGTGTATGCGTGCTATTCTTACAGTTCAGTCCAGTGCATAAAGAATCTAGCACCCTGAAACTATCACTTCCAGAAGTCTGTTTCCTTATTTTGACAGATCACTGTATCTGTGTGCAGATTTTTTTTTTCCTCAATGTCTGAAATAGAGGCAATAATACATGCCTCCTTTGAGACCTACGATTAGAGTCATTATATTTGTGAGAGTTACTTATATTTGAAATTCCATTTGTTATATGTCTATAATGTAATGCGGAGCTGTTTGCAGTAGGAAATACTGATTACAAACCAGCCAATAGAGTAGCGACTGGATATTGAGATCACGAAAAATGACACATGCTTTCATACTTTTAATCATGGAGGATCTGACTTTCGTAGCCTTATGTATCGAGTATGCGTATTTGAGTAAAATGAAATGAAAATGAAGCTGCTGTTAGCAGTGCTAAAGAGGCTGTGTAGAGGCCTGTCAGAATGACGCAGGAGTCTTAGTAATTGGAGGAGGCAGAAGGGAAGCAGCTTAACTTCTGATTCTAAGGATGAGCTAGAAATTTTGGAGACAAGACAATTTTTTTTTGAGTTGATGAGGGGACCACATTTAATGTGAAAGCTGTTGAGATAAAATAATCATGAAATTCCATAATCTAGAATAATTTTCTGGTATCTGGTGCCCTACATAAAATAGGTAAGTTGACATAATTCATTGCACAAGATCTAAAAATATGTGCTAGATAGTTAAGTATATTTGATCTTTACGTCTTTCTACTTGTGTTTGTTTTTTTTTTTTCTTTTCCCTTATATGCTTTTTTTCCCTTTATAGGCTTATATGAAACTAGATTTCAACAAAACTGGGAGTGTGCCTATGGTAGATATCAGAAAATGTTACTGTGCAAAGAAACATCCTCTAGTATTGTCAGGTAATTGACATGCAGGAAAAAAAATTAGAATCTGTAACTACTGAAGTCATCTTGTTAGCAGAGATACCAGATCCAGAAACTAGTTGCAAATACAAAGTTTTTGTACTGGCTTAGACTCGAGCTGTTAAAGAGATCTTTTTTTCCTCTGATGACCTGTAATGTGTCTATCTGGAACATGACTATAAATAGTAATGGTGTTCATGTACATAATTTTAATACTTGCTTTTTATCAAGCTGTAAATAGTGCATACATGCAGAGTAGTTCCTTTCCCTAAATTTAAGCAGTTATTTCTGAGCTTTGGTGTGCAAGTTATCTGTGACGCATATGATATTAGTAAACTCTCATTTTCATATTACTGTTTTTCTTCCATCAAAATATGCAAGGTTTCCAACTGACACTGAATGTACTCAGCACTTGAAATTCCTTCTGAGTAAATTATTCATTTATTTCTGGGACAGGATTGTCATCCTTTAGAGAGGAAGTATGGGTATCTTCATTATTTTTTCAGGATTCTCAAAAATGTTTAAACTCTGCCATTTTAAAAATAGGAGTTTAAATATTTGTATGTCAGTTTCTAAAATAACACTTCCATGTACCAAACTAGTCATTGTGAAAGTCTCCCTAGTGTCCTGTCCATTTCTGTTTTTACCTGCAGAAGAGACAATGTTGTATTGCCAGTGATTTTAATGGTAACACATGAAGACACATGGTGGTATTGGAATGTTACAGTTGCGATTTTTTCCAATGCTATAATGCTATATTTTTTCCATTTTTTTTCCTCGATGCTATGAAATCATCTTGAGTGTAGTCTTTATTAAGTCAGTAGAACACACATGTCAATTGCAGAACACTTTTCAAATGCAATCTTGCATCTTTGAGGTTTTCCTAGAGCTTTGAACTTGTATTACGTTAAACTTATGTGTTATTACAAGATAACTTCTGAATTACCAAAATTTTACTACAAATACATGATTTAGTTTTTGCAGTCACTTGAAGAAAAAAAATCTTCCTGATGTCATAATTCATTGAAATTGATGGTGGCCTCATGTTTCTGTTGATACTTAATGCTATTAAGTGCTATTCAAGTAAGATGATTTCTGCAGCTGGTATCAAGTGAGCCAGTGATTTAATTCTGAAATCAGAATATTGAATTTTTTCAAGGAAAAAATACTTGCAAGCTAAAATTTGAAAGTTTCTTGCATGAAATATATTAAATGCTATATATTCACTGTTCTTGAAAATATATTTAATGGAAAAAATACACTTTCACAGGCAAAGCTACTGAAGAAGAAATTCAATTGTCGTTTCTGGAAACATTAGGAGAATCCTGCAGCAATCCCAATGAAGTGGCCTATTCTGAGTTCGAAGATTACTATGAAGGATTAAGTGTTGGAATCATGGATGATGATGATTTTGTTAATATCTTAAGGAATTCTTGGGGAATTTAGAGTGGAGGATGACAAAAATGAAGGAGATTTTAAACAAGGAGTGAGCTAAATAAGGGAGGTTTTAGTCTTGATGTGCATTACTTCATAATTAGTGTCTTAAACTGATTTCAGGGAAATTTTAGATGCTTTCAGAATATTACATGGCATATATCTCAGACTGTTGAGCTATGCTAACCACTTCTTTAATATAAATACTGTTCATTCCTTTTCATCGGAAATAATAAAGGCTGTTCTTCATACCAAAAGGCATCATTTACTGGATATTAGAATAAAGTGGCCTAATTTAAAAGAAGAGGGAATTAGAATACTAAAATGCATGAAGGGGTATATGCAAGACAAAATTTAGTTTTATGATGCTTTGTGAAAAGCTTTAGATTTTATGGTGTAAATATCAGTGGTAGCTTTTCTTCAGAGTTTTCTTCTTATAAAAATAGTATGTTTATTCATATAACAGTCTTTGTCTTGTTTCTTGTTTCTTAGCCTGGTACTTAGCCTGAAAGAGAGCAGGTCATCCTTTTCCAATTTTGAGGATGTCTGCAGTGCTGGAAGTACAGAGATGTTCACACCAATTAGCCTTTGAACTAGTATGCGGACCATCTTGACTGATCTTGTTTTCTCGTCTTGGTCAGGCGTCTAAAGCTAAGCATTGAATCCCAAAGGCTTTAACAAGCACACATATATTTTGTAATGCACTTCCTCCTTTCCTGTATTTTGCTAAGTGGTTTTCAAAACAATTTTTATTTAAATTTCAGATTTCTGTACTTTCTATTGCTGTGATTTTTTTTTAACTAAAATTTAGCAATGGTGTCCTTTGTCAAACTGATGTATAACATTTCCTATCTACTCTGAAAGTATAAAACAGAAAAGTATAAGAAAAACCCCAAACAAACAAGACAACAAAACCAAAACAACCACCTCTGTCACAACAAAAATTAAACCATGAATTAAAATATTCCTTGCTACTTCACATATTCAGCCAGATGTGCTTTTCCATGTTATACATCTTGTTAATTCTGTAAAATTCTTTGTGTTACGAAATAAAAAATGTGTTATTAATTACATATATAGAGAGATAGATAGCCTTTGGTTTCAATATACCTGTCACCAAAATTAACTGTATGTTGAACTGCATTTCTTAAGCCTATGCACTTAAAATATATTAGTTTCCTCTGTGCTTGTCTGCCTGGTTTTGAATTTATAGTCTGTGATTAATGGAACCTTCCTCCGAGACAGAATTTGTGTTTCGTAGGAATTTAAGGGCAGTGCTGAAATGAGGGACTTAGTCCCTCTGTGGCTGACTGCTTTATTCTAGATAGAGCACTTTGGTGTTCTAAGAGCTTATGCATTGTTGTGTTTTGATTGTTTGTACCCTGTCGTCACTATTAACTAGAATTGCAGTTTCCACTCTAAATTCTCAATTGAAGGATTTTGAGGGGTTCTTTTGGGGCTGTAAAAGTCTGTATGTGTTGGTTTACAGAGAAAGGTAAATTCTGTCAATGCTTATTCTAAGCAAGAATCCCGATGAGGCTCATTACGATTTTCTTACTCCCCATTCCTCTGGAATTTCTCTTGCTGGAAAGATTTTGTTAATTAGTGTTTTTGGAATTGGTGATTCTGAGAAGGGCAACTTCAGCTGGTTTTACAGGGATCAGCTTGTTAATGTGTCTGTTCAAATAACTGAAAAATTCCAAGTGGCATTTTTATTAGTTTTTCAAAGAATCACCTACTCTGTTTAGACTTGTTTACTTAGGAGAGGTGTACCAGCATATAAAACTGTAATTCAATTTAATAAATGTGAAAGTGATTGTGAAATGAGGTATTGACATATTTCTTTTTGCAATGTGTCTTTTTTTTTTTTTTTTTTTTTCCAATGCTTTCAGGAAGATTATTCCATATTATCCTATGGAATGGAAAAATTGATGACAAGTTGATGTATCCTTAGTGGGCCTGCTTATCAGCAGAGGCTGTATAGGTGACATCTGCCGCAAATTAAGCATTTCTTTATTTTGCTCTTATCACTAAAATGAGGTGCTGTTACAAGAACACTATTTCCATAGCTTTGGTAGTCATGCATTTTTTTTCTTAATCTGAAGACAGATCCTTAAAGGGTAATCTATGATAAATTCTGAAGGTCAGAAATTTCCTGAAAATACAAGTATGTGCTCTGGTAATTATGTAAAACTTGTTGGGTATATAATTTCTATTAACTAAGAGGTCAGTCATGCATCAGTAGCTGCCTCAAAACATCAGGTATGATGTCTATGGTGAATTTTTAATGGAGTTCACAAAAGCAGTTTTCCATCTGCCTGCTGTTTTTCATTGTCTAAACTTAGAGACTGTAACAAAGAATTCAAAGTAACTTCTACCCAAGGCTGGTCCAGCGTGCTTATTGTTAGTAGAAAAATACAGAAACTGTGTTCAACCCAGGGCCTGTTATGTCTGACTTCTTTTCATCAACAGTGGTCTCAATGCCCTGATTAATTGCATTCTGATTTGTTCTTATTTACTTGTAAACTTGTGAAGAACCTGAATCCTTTTTCTGGATCAATGCTTTGTAGCTTTAAAACTTTCTGGAGGTGTCTGCTGTGGTTTACTGCCTTTAAATGTGTTTCAGACAAAACGGTTTCAACATTTGCTGCCTTTCTCAGAATTGCCCATGTTTTCTGAATTGGGATGTGTTAGTTAGAAGCGATGTTCTCAGAGAAGCTGGCTGGCTTCTTTCCTGAAACTCACTGCTTAATAAAAGTAGTTGTCTTCATGCCACCTTGATTTACGCTTGTGCTAAAAAGTCTTCGCAACCTGCCGTAATTGAGAGTATCAGAAGTGCATGATGCTACAAACATATTTTGTCCTATTAGATAGCACACTCCCAGAATCAGAACCATAGAATGGTTTGGGTTGGAAGGAACCTCAAAGATCATCTAGTTCTAGCCCCCCTAGACCAGGTTGCCTAAAGCCCCATCCAAC